CGGACCGGCCCGCGCCGGGAGACGGCCCGGCTCCCCACCGCCGGCCGCTCCTGGCTGGCTCCGACAGCAGCTTCCAGCCGCTTTTTTTTGCCTTTTTTTTTTTAAATCAGCGCGACCCCCTTTGTTGTTTTTTCTTCAATGGGAAGGGCGACAAACTCTACAGGCGGCCGCTGCGGCTTTTCCCCCCTCGCCTCGACGGGGACCGCACAACTCCCGGCGACTCTTGGCCAAGCGAAAAAGTTTTAAAACACCGTTTGCTAGAGGACCGCTCCCGGACTTCCCAAGAGGCATCGCTGAACAACTTTAATTCCAAATCTGACATTTGGACCGGCTGCCGGGGATGACCTCTCACTCTGCGTCTAACTTCACAAATCCTCTCAATTCTGAAGTTCTTTTTAAATACTTGGAACAAAACACCAGATAGACAGACAAAAGCTTAAGGCATTAAACCGTATTATCTGCTAAAACCCAACAACTGTTTGTTGTTTTTTTTCTTAAAGAGTGTAAAAATATTACTGACACCATATCTAAAAGAAGTCAACTTCTAAGAAAAGAAACCACTTACAGCAAAACAGAAAGAAGTAGCAGTTGCAATGCAGCTGCCTTATCACCACAGCAGGAGCCACAGTCCAACTTTAATTAAGGGAAAAGATAAAAAACAAGAGAAGGATATTCTGAATATCACAAATAAAGAATGCAGTTACTACAGATTAGTCTGACACCAGAATAACGTGGTTTAAAATAAACAAGATGCATCAGCATTATATGGCATACAAATTTGTGTGATTACAGCTTATGGACTGTACTCCAACTGTTAAAATCATACTTTTCCCTCTAATGATTTTGAGCTAAACCACCGAATCTACCAATTCGGAATTACGTTGGGCAACGTTCCATTCTTTGCAAACGCTCAGTAAACTGATTTGAACTGTGGATCTAAACTCACATTAAAACTTGGCTAACCATTCACCTGACGGGTCCCTAATTACAGACGCAAACTTGTTCTCCACACATCAAAAACTGCAGTGTTTTCAGTTATTTTGAGGACAAAAATCTTCCAACTCTGACGGTCTGTGCTCAAAAACTTCACCTAAGCAAGGCTGAAATCTCCCTGATTTCACGTTTAGTTTTATTACCACAAATTAAACGATGCATCCACTGGCATCCCCCAACAATTAGTAGGGGCATACCAAAGAAACACATCTTGGGGACAGTTACTTACAAGACTAGGGCAGCAAATCTCAGCACCTGCCCCACTTCCCAACAGCCGGCTCCTTACAGCGTCCTGCCTAAACCCTCCGGCAGGGCCCCACACCCAGTTTACCCATTGCGGCTGCGATCTCCTTTCCTTTTCACGCTGCCCCTGCTTTTCCTTTTTCTCCCAAAGGGAAAAATCTTCTCAACCTCGCCCCTTCGGTCCTCTAGACCTTCACGCTTAGTCGCCGTCCCTTCGCTCTGCCTCCTACAAACGCCCGGCTCCCCTCCGAGGGGACGCTTTCCCCGCAGACCCCAGCGCCGCCACACCCCGTCGATCGACGGACCGGACGGCAAAGCCGGGCCGGGCCCCCCCAGGGACGCGCGGGCCCCACGGCGGCCCCAAGGCGCCGCTTCTCCCCCCC